CGTGTTGCTTGAGAAGTGAAGTCAGATGGAGACAGATTTAAATTCATTAAGATTAAAATAGACTCGAGAAACTTGGCCCATTGTACAGCTTCTCAAACTTTTAATTGAGCTCATCTTTTATTCATGGCCCTACAAAGTTGACATTGTTAATGTTGAACAAAGCCCACAGTCTATTCTGACATTTTAACACATCCCGTTTTCCTCTTAGTCACATAACCAGCTTTGATGTAAACTCTACTGATGAGTGAAAACATTTTGGTATGTAAAGAAGAACTGTGGATTTTGTTTGTAATTTGTGCCATGCTTACCTGCTAACTGAGGGCTGGCCTGGTTGTAATCATAGACCTGAACAAAGTCTCCGCAGGCTTCAGGGACCAGGTCAAAAGAGGTGAATGTCAGTTGGACCGTTTCACCTTCAGGCACTGTGATTCTCCACTGATTCAAAGAGCAAACGCACAGAAAGAGTGTGAAAGGCTGTGTCTGCTATGGATTTAAAGAGAGACTATTATGTTAATTTCCAACTCCACATTTATAATTCTTGGACTATAGGACAGTAGCTTCTCACTATTTACTCTGTTGCAAACAAGACACTTTAACTACTCCCCATTTAAGCCAACTGCATTCTGATTGGCTGCCCCTTGCAAACAGGTTTAGGTGGACCCTGAAAGGACCATATTAAGGAAACCCCCTCTTATTGACATCAGCAGGCCCAAGAGTAGAAATAACTGTGTGAAGTAGTGTGTTCAGAGCAGTCTGAAACACTAGCTTTACTAGCAAATACACTGACATTATTCTTTTAAACACTGACCATATTTAATATGAGCATCCATCATTTTAACTGATGGAAAATGACAAAAGGCTTAATATTTGCCCTTTAAAATCATTTTGATGTCGTTTCAGTAATGCACAGCGCAGCCATCTGCATCACTCCTCATGTTCTCCTTCTACTAGTCTCGTGGTTTCGACATAGGCTACTGTAACTCATAAATAATTCTCTCACCGACTCTGCTCTTGTTTGGACAGACGGTGATCTGTCGAGCTCAAGCTCAGCCAGATGAAATCATGATGACAGCCAAATAATGCCATATGACTCCACATCCAAACCCAGCATGCAAAGCCGCACATCCAAATACACTCTGATTCATTTAGATCCATTAATGAATGATCAGAACCACAAACGCCATCTGGGTGAGAATCGGAAACGTCTAGGCTCGTCTATGCTAATACATCACTGTCGTCAATGTTATATGAGATATTTAGGAGTATATATCTTTACCAATCCACTTTTGGCAATTAGATTTATTTTTGATTAGATTTTAAACAAAAAGCCCATAAATGATGTTCAAAATTAGGCGTAACCTATATCCTATATCTAAATCTATTCAAACAGACAACAGTTTCAGACATTAGTGGCATTTATAGGAAGCAGTAAGAACACATTTTTACTATTTGCAATTACTTACATACTATTCGTATCGCAAGAGACAATTAGCTCAGCTTTACACTGAAACCAAGTGAAACCACTTGCCTTGTTTAAATGTTAAACTCAAAGCCTCCTATTAGTCTGACTTTAAAGTTTTAAAGATGTTTACCTCTGTTGCTTATCTGGTCACATCAGTTTAATATCCTAAATGAGATATTTTTGTAGATGTGTGTAAACAACTAAATCTCTGCACATACAAACGTGCATAAGGCTCTTTTTAATTTTCCTGAATTAGCTGTGTTTACGCTGCCACTGGATCTGAACACTGTAACTGCATTTGAAAGTCAGATACAGTGCTTTAGGAAATCGCTGGAGCTTGGGTAAGTGCTCCAGCAGCTCTCTAATGATGTTAACTTTTATTTTTCAGATTCCTTTTTGTGTGCGGATCAAACAAAACCGACAAACACGTTAATTACTGAATTTTAGACGTGTGTTTTTGAGCCTTGGAGACGGGCAGGGTGGTTTGTTTGTTATTTCTTTATGCTAATCAGGCTAATTATCTAAGTGGGTTTATTACGACCAACCTCCTTCAGCTCTGCGTGGAAAATGAAATCTGAT